AAAAAAAAAAAAGTTCCTCAGAATAGTAAAGCCCTACAAGTTCAAGTCTAAACGAGGCTGTCAGATCTTAATGTGATAACACGAATATCCTAAACCTATAACTCTAATAGTATCTCCTTCTGTCTTAGAATCCAAGAAAAGCAGATTCTTCATCATTATTTGAACTAAGAAGCAGACTCATTATTAATGTCTGTGTTAATTCTATCCTCTTTTCCTAGTTTTCTCAACTTTCCTTTCTGGTTCAGTTCCTTATTTACTTTCCTTGCTTCAGCCAGAATCTCATCCCTTCAGGTAATTTTCTTTCATGTGTGTAGTGATTGCTCTCTTTTCTGACAATTTGTGGTTCTTTGTTTAAACTTAGTTTAGGCTATCTTACATTGTTGGTTCTTTGTTTTCATGAGTGTTCTTGGTTATACATTCCCTAAGGGAAACTGTGTCCCATATGCTTTTTTAAAATTTAATTTAATTTATTTATTTTTTGTATTTCAAGAGCCTAGATCAGTGTCTAACTCATAATAATAACATGAAGATATATTATAGGAAAATCTATAGACTTGTCAGTGACTGACTACTTAGAACAACTTTAAAAAACTCCAAGTTTCTGTGACCTTGGTAATAATATATTATTGAGTGCTACAAAGGTATAAAGGAACCAAAAACTATAAATGTCTAAAAATAGAGTCAATTCTTATTGGCTTTAAAATCACAATTATAAATGTGGGAAATATCATCAAAAAATAATATGAAGGTTCTGACTGGTCTTAGACCCATGAGATTGGAGAATAAAGGAATTCCAAGCAGAAGTAATAGCTGGAACAAAGGCAAGGAAATGAAATAGACCAGGTAATTAGTAGGAAGTCATTCCTATTGGCTGGCTAATAAAGAGAATATCTGAAGCCAGGTACAGTGGCTCAAGCCTGTCATACTAGCACTTTGGGAGGCTCAGGCAAAAGGACTGCTTGAGCCCAGGAGTTTGAGGTTGCAGTGCGCTGTGATGACACCACCGCACTCCAGCCTGGGCAACAGAGCATGACCCTGTCTCAAAATAAATAAACAAATTAAAAAGAGAATATCTGAAAATAAACTTATAAATGGAGGTGACGCCATGTTCATTAACCTTAATATGAACTCATATGGGGAATTATTAAAATATTTTTAATCAGTGTACAGAACTACAAAGAATGTGAAATGAAATTAAAAGTGAAACTGAAAGCAGTTTCCTAGAGGGATAAGTTTATTACATGACATGGAGATGTGTAATCATTCCTAAACACAGGCAGTATTGATAAGAACATATAGAATAAAATACATACAAGAGATATTGAGTAGGTGATATTTTTGTTTATTATGAAAAGACGGCCTAGGCTAAGGGAAGAGAAGAAAACGAAAGTAACACTGCCCCATGTTTAAGTGTGAATGAAGAAATATTTTATTGAAATAAAAATATGTTTCCTTTCTATACGTTAAATAGAAATGTATGTAATAAATTCATCTTTAAATTTTGATTTCTACAATTTTAACTAACATAGTGCTTCAAGGTACTAAAACCACTGAACCCAATTCACTTATATTTGACATCATCGACATATATCCACGTTTTTCCCTAACTGTTTAGAAGATCTTGTTAACAGTTTTAGAGAATAATATTCTTTCTTATATAACAATGATTTCAATATAACTATAATGTCTCTTATTTAATTATTTAGAAATCCAAATGGGACTCAGAGCAATAGCACAAGATGGCCAGTCTTCAAAAGTCCTGAACAAAAATATCTTACCTTGAACACGGAGCCACCGAGAATATACACTAAACTACGTGCTCAACAATGCCGATTCTGGACACTTTTCTTCCCCAAAGTCTTGGAAATTACAGGTGTGTGTTTTCTAGTGTTCGGTTATATAATAGATTGTGGATTATGTAAAAGAGGAAAAACACAGACTATCCAAGGCATGTGATAGTGGTAGTATATGTATGTTTGACTTTACAGTTACTTGATTCCAATGAATATATTATTTTAATGTTCTTAGAGCTTGCTCTGTGAGCAGCTCTTTAGTAGCTAAATAAAGAAACTAAAATATAAATTTCCCCCTGGAGGAGCATAAAACATAGTAGGGGAAATAAAAGAAGACCCTACTTGTTATTTAGACAATCTTTGTGGAATTAATGGATAAATAAATAAATGTATAAAATAAACATAATATATAGAATTAAAACCTGA